AGCAATTATTTTTAGTTAGCATATAGCTAAAATCTAACGATGGTTATATAATAGCAGCTGCATTCTGACGTGATAAGCTCTATGTTTTATATTCAATTAATGTATGATCTGATTAGTCGGCTAATCGAATAAATAATCGGTGATTAATCGATTATTAAAATAATCGTTTGTGGCAGTCCTATTTAGGATGCCATTTGGTTCAGTATTAGTTGTGCTTTTTGCAATTTTAAACACTACCAAACAAAACTGAACTTATGGCCTAGATAAAAGTAAACTTTTGAACTGACCAGACACAAATTCAGCAGCTTTTCAGCCTTACTAGTATATAACAGTCTGCTCACAGCACGCATACATTTGCATRGTACCATCCAAATTCTACTTCACTTATCTTGTCAATGCATGTACTTGTGTTGATATTATTACTTTACACAGTAACTTRCACAGTTTGTGCTCTCTTCTCACCACTGTCAGTGTAAATAGTTTTCCCTGAGGGGATGTACTCAGTGATTTCATGTTGGTGCCCTACTGACCACTGAGCCAGCGGGCAGTATTTCTAAGCCAGATTCTTCCCACTCCCCCGTCCGTCTTCGTTTTGCTCATCAAACACATTTACATACACACCATCTCACAGGGCCCTCTGATTAATTTATGCCTCTAAATTTTTACACTATACAGACTGTTGTTTTGAATGGTGTCTTAAATCACTGCTTGGATAAGGCTGGCTGAGTGTGCATTTGTTTTATTCATGCAGAATGCACACAGTGAGAAAACAATGTGCCGCACAAGAGTGAATGTATATTGTTCGTTGCACTATGTTCTTGTGTACAAAGCAAATGAGAAAGTGATATATGCAGCCCATTATAAAAGTCAGTTTCCCTTTTTCTTTTCCACACAGGCCCTTGCCATCCAAACCCCTGCCACAACAAAGGCACTTGTGAGATCAGCGARACCTACAGAGGTGACACCTTCATCGGATACATGTGCAAGTGTCCACCAGGCTTCATTGGAGTTCACTGCCAACACAGTAAGTGGGATTACACTTTAGTTCAGTTCTCATCATAAATTTGAACTCATTATGTTCTAATATGGTACACAGAAAAAATCAATTTTTCCTGTAAATCTGTGGAAATCTGGGAACAATCACACATCTGCCTTTTTTTTTCAGTTTTACCCAGCCCAATTCTTGACCTTTTGCAATGAAACAAATGTTAAGTTTATGGCAAAACATGTATTACTGTTTAAAAAACATCTGTCTGAAACAATTGTGAGATTGGTTAGGTTCAAAGTCTGAGTCAAATTTTSTTGAGCTTTTTTATTTTTAAAACTTTTATTCCTTTGTAGCATATGCTTCTTTTTGCAAAGTTTTAAGTTGAAGGTTTATGTTGGGTGACTGGACACATTAAGCATGAACTTTAGCTTTACATATATGTGAACAGGGAGGTATTCCTGTWTTTTTTTTTATTATTWYYT